CAGGCAATGCTTCCTGCTTTGGGGGTAGCAGCATGGTAATTTCTACTGCTACCATTTTGCCACTGCACCCCCCAAGCTTTAAATTTTAAAATGAAATCATTCCAGGTAAAAGAAATAAACTGCAAAAGTTGTTTAGGTCCTGGGAAAACAGTTGATAAATTTGTGAATGGAAATGCAGTGCTGTGAGCAGATCACAAGATGACAACTGTTTTTTAGATTTATTTTTAAGAAAAATGTTTATATAAAAAAAGATTGAAACAAATTGAAAATGATAATAAATCAATAAGATTAAATATAAAATACCTTCATATCCATATTCACAAAGAAAGAGGTCATTTGACTGATTAGAAAAAGAACATGGGACAACAAGACTTGACTTAAGCACAGTTCAGCAAATTACTGCCCCCCACCCACCCCAATTAAACAATTGCAGGTTCTAGTTAAATAGTTTACCTTGTCCAGACCCTTTCAACAGCACAGTCAAAGAGAGCTAAGTTCTTAATTTCCAGACGTCTTCTCTTTTCTGAAAGAAAAGGAAGTTAGATTACAGAATATTGGAAAGTGTATACTGTGTACAGTGCTAGTAATGCTAGATTTACAGGCCAAATGGAGTTTGGAATTTTATTTGTAAGTCATTGTTGTAATTTAAGGCACTAGGTGACATGATGTAATTTTACAACCATTTTTACAGTGCTCTAAAACAGATCACCCAAGTTGCAAAGCAAATCACATGGTTATTAAGCAAATCAGAGACATGGCAAAAACACCAGAAACTGACAAAAAATTGCAAATTGCCAACATATCACCATGGGACACCGCAACCTCTTGTAAATGTGCACAGGTTGTCAAATGCTCCAAATGTCATCACATGACTTCAGAGGAGGGTTAACAGTTATATGAGGGCAGGTCAGAAGTAGGTTTTTAAAAGTCTATCTTAACTGAGTGACCATTAAACAATTATTTGAAGGTCAAGGTCTACAAGTACATTAAGCCAGAGCTTCCTTGAAAGCTTTGGTCCTATTTCTTTGTATTGACTCAAAGAAAGTTTCCTACCCACTTAGCATCTATTAGATAAATATTGCTCTGTATATTTTCTTTGATTTTTAGAAATTTAAGTTGTCCAGAGTCACTTTTATTTGCTGAATAAATAAAAATGTGCATGCCAAACTCAGGCCAGAGTATTCCATTACAAATCTATTTCTTCAGAAATTGTACTAGCTAAAGCAGAGGTGTCAAAGTCGATTGTGTCACATGGCATATTGCAATGTTTTTTGCCTTTGCAGGAAACTCTTTCAGCAACCTTTTTGGGAAAAGTTCTATTTTTTTACTGGACAAATAGGTGCACCAGCAAAAAAGCCACTGGCCTATGAAAATAAATTTGTTTGTTTTCTACAATTGCCTCTGTAACCTATACAGGACTCAAATAATGCTTGTAAATAAAATATTACACTAATAGCATGTGTGTGTGTGTGTGTGTGTTTTTAAGTATTGTTGTGGTTAGCCAGCAGCAGGTGTGGATGAATGAGAGTGAGGACTCAGATGAGCGTCCAGGACCATTAGGTAGGTGGACTGCTGCCTTCAGAGATTGTGGGGGCTGGCAGAAGTGATGAGGAGGTTCCCAAGGCGCCTGTGCCAAGTGTGCATGCGCACAGGATTGCTCGTAGGAAAGAGCAGCTACAACAGCACAGGCGACTCGGGAGTAAGGCTGCAAGGTAATGGCCCCTCCTTCAAGAAGATAAAAGCCAGCTTTGAAATGAAAGTTCTTTGCAGAAGGTAAAAACGTTTTGAAACTCCAGCCTTGCGGACATTCCTGAGTATCCTGAGTTTGTATTTGAAGATTCTTGTATTGCAAATTATTTCTTGTCTGTTATCTTTTGACAAGTCTTGCACAGTTTGGCAAGGTTTGTGCTTATCACAGCTAATTATTTTGCAGAAGCATTACAAGGTTTCTGTTCCCTTTGGATTGTGTTTGATTTGTTGGAAAAGGGTGTGGGTCAGAATAAGTATGTAGGCTCATGTCTAGATTTTGAAGAATTGGGTAGAGCAGAAAATTGGCAAGTGAAAAGCATAAAAATAGTCATGTTTACTGGCACAGTGTCCAGATTTGCTACATCTGGTAGGTGTGCAACTGGTCTTTACGAGGTGTCCTATGATAATCTTTTAGGGTCGTTTGTATCGTAGGACTGGTAAGGTACATATAAATTCAATTCTTGTGATAGGAGAATATTGCCATTATACTTTAATATTAAAGCCAGGATAAGCAAAAAGTGATGATTGATGTAAAGTAAGCTTATAGGCAGTAAAACTTTAATAAGTATTCATGTTGATAAATGTAATATACTTATTGGATGATTATATGTATGGAAATATTTTTTCAATAATTACTAATTTGCTTTAAAATAATTATATAGAACTCTAGTAGAGAAGTAGAAGCATAGTGCTTCAGTGGCCTAAATGATGCTAGAGAAGTCTATGCTCTAGCAGTTGGAGCCTTACCATCGTGTGACAGAGCTTCCATCACTTGCCTCAGCTCATGCCAACCTAGTAGTTCAAATGCATGTAATTGCAAGTAGATAAACAGGTACCACTGTGGGAAGGTGACAGCATTCCATGTTTCTCCATTTGCTCTGCGGAAACATCTTTGGAAGGTGCTAGCTCAATAGCTTAAAGAAATAGAGATAAACACCTCCCCCTAAAGTCAGCTATGACTAGCGGAGTAAAATTCATAGGGAACAAAGTTTGTATAGCAGTACTTTTGAATGTAAAAGAAATGTGCTACAGTTATTAATAGAAGAAAATTTCAAATTTAAAAAGCCTTTTTCAAAAATTAAATCTGTTTTTTTATTTTTTTTCTTCCATTTATTCCTGTCCAGTTCTCAGAAACTGCCTGGGCAACTATGCGGATGAGCACAGAATTATATTATTGACTTTGTTTAATGTGGATTCATCATGATACTCTTTAGTTTTTGTCACTATTTTTATCGTCAGATCTTTCTTCACAACTAAATTGATAATCTCACTTGCTTTCAATACATTCTGACTGATGTTCTTGTGATATAGCATGCATTTTCTATAGTGGAATACTATTTGCACAACTTAATTTTTGCAAAATTATTGGTACTGACAATGGTCTATTTAATATCTTGGCAGTTCCATGAAAAACACTGGAAAATGAAACTAACACTCTTTTTCCTGCTTCAATTTGGATTACTGTCTGCTATGTGCAAACTGAGCTGTTATCCTGAACATTTTTTCCATTATGTAGGGTATACATACATGTGAAACCACAAAAATATTTTTGTCCCTATAATATTTTAAACAACTTATTTTTTCTTCCAGCAATTTGATGAAAGCTAAGCAAAAACTATTAGAGAACATTTTAGCAGAGATATAGGCCTTCAGATGTAACATGACTTAATTACAAGTGACCTTTTCCACAAGACAGATGTGAAATCTTAAAAATAGCAGTTTGTCAGGTAATGTAGGGGAATTCTTCATGATCTCAGCTGTAGACATTGCAGATAGGTCTAGGAAGGAGGCAGTGGCAAACCACTTTAAAAAAAACTTGCCAAGAAAACTGCAGGAACTTGTCCAGGCAATCTCTGAGAATTGAGTGGAGGGGAGCGGGAATATAATAGATGCTGCTCACCTCACAATCACTGATCACATTTTCTCAGGTATTTGGAAAATAATCCTGAATGACCTCATTTTATATAACATTATCTAGATATCTTGAGTCCCAAATACTATCACCCTTGACTATAACAACCTAATAAATTGGCTGAGAATACAAAGATTTGGACTTCAACATAATAAAAAAAATAGCCACAAATGCTATGGCAGTTAGTCTTTGGAATAAGTTTTGAAAATAGTCTATCTAAGCTATACAATTTGAACCATCAGTGATGACTAAAGACAGGATAATTAACAATTATCTCTCATTTGCCATTTTTTTAGCAAGTCAAATTATCTTAAGATACTGATTGTAAGATTAAACCATGCTTCATTTGAGATTAGCCCAATACACTATGACAATTTTAAACGTATGGGTTCCATAATATTGTTCAAAGGTTCTTAGCCAGATGGTATTTCCTACAATGTACTGTACAATCTTCTATGGAATAAAATCCATCTTCTTTTATGGAATAAACTATTTATTCCATTTTGTAATCTTCCAGATAAAGACTCCCTTGAGCTGATTTCAGCTACTGATCATTATATGTTTTCTTGCAACTATACGGAAATGGTTTTAAACTGCATGGGGCTTTCCTTCCTTCCTTCCTCCCTCCCTCCCTCCCTCCCTCTTCCCTTTTCCCTTTTCTTCTTAGTAGCTTTGCTTCTAATTTTAAAACCAAACTATTCATAGGACTTGGTAATAAAAAAAACCACCTACATAAACTTCTTTTCCATCACCACCACATCTCTTTCAAAAACTATATTAATTGTTAAGATGTTAAACCTACATGTTTATAAGGAGGCACAGTGGTTTCATTTTTTATTTATTTTTGCTACGATATGTCTGCATCTTCTTGGAACAAAAGGTAGATTTAACAAGAGAAAGAGGTAAAAGTAAGTTTGCATGAAGAATGTCTTTAAGGTAAAATAAATAATTAGAAATGAAAATGGCCACAGTCTCGTACATACTTGATAATAGGGGCAAGCTGTTTGTACAGTGTCACATCCCTCTTGACTAGACTTTGGGTGGAAGGGCAAAAGGTGTGGAATGTCTCTGTCTGTTGTGGAAAAAAGGAAATGACTGTCTGTGCTCTTAAACTGTAGACTCAATATATCCAGCTGACAGTCTGGTTAACAAGCACTGAAGTACAAAGGCCACGAAGCTGAGAATAGTTAGGTCTTAATTTTAAAGCAACTTGGCACAAATCCCCCTTCTCCTTTTTTCCTCTCTGTTTTTCTTTTGAAAGAATAATTATGTGGTTTATAATTTGGCTACTTTTTAACCGGTAACTTTCTGCTTTATTTCAGAAGTGTGTTTTCAGAAAACATTGGCTCTGAACGAGTCCAGAAAGAAGTAAATCAAGTTGCTGCATAGTGAGTCATTGGCTCAGCTTGAAAGTGCTTTCATGACTTGACACTGGGCCCACATTTACCCTTCACTCCCTGCAACCAAGCAATCTGCAGCTGAGCGATGGGCCAAAAAATCTCAGGGAGTATAAAGTCTGTGGATGTTCGGGATCCCCCATATAGACCAGTTAAACGAGAATTGAGGGGGCCAGATTTCTGCAAGCCTGCACGATTGGATATGTTACTGGATATGCCCCCAGCCCACTTGGAGGTCCAATTCAAACATGCTTGGAACAACGAAGATCGATCCTTAAATATATTTGTGAAGGAAGATGACAGACTAACCTTTCATAGACACCCGGTTGCTCAAAGCACAGATTGCATCAGGGGAAAAGTTGGCTATACAAGGGGACTCCATGTCTGGCAAATTCACTGGCCCACTAGGCAACGAGGAACACATGCAGTAGTTGGGGTCTCAACAGCAGAAGCCCCTTTGCATTCTGTAGGATATACATCATTGGTTGGTAGCAATAATGAATCATGGGGCTGGGACCTTGGACGGAACAAACTTTACCACAACTGCAAAAACCAGCCTGGAGTGACCTATCCTGTGTTTTTGGAACCAGATGAGTCTTTTGTACTTCCAGACTCCTTATTGGTGGTTTTGGATATGGATGAAGGAACCCTTAGCTTCATCGTGGATGGACAGTATCTTGGAGTGGCCTTCAGGGGCTTAAAAGGGAAAAAACTGTATCCTATAGTCAGTGCGGTATGGGGGCACTGTGAAATTACAATGAGATATGTCAACGGGCTTGATCGTAAGTGTTTCATTAACATTTTTATTCTTCTTTTCAGAATATGTAAAGATACTTGTACTGTCTAGCCAGTGTATGGGAATTGGATAGTTAGGTAGCACTTGTGAGCTGTCCCCTTAAGGGAATGCATCATGGTAAATGTAGTTAAGGTATCCTGGGAAATGTAGTCCATATCACATGACCACATCTGTAATCCTGATTGGTCACTAAATTGACCCTCGAGGGGTTGGGGGAGGTTTTCCTCACTCTTGGCTGAACTCATGGACTCGTGCTAACTCTTCTACTTCTATCGCTACAAGATGAGGGAAAAAGGATAGAAGATAAATAAACTTTTTATCTACAAGACAGATATACAAAGGATTGGTCATTAAAGAAGAACTTCATCACAAATATGAGTCATGAGGATACCTGATGAACCAATAAAAGTACTTTGTTATGGATGTTTTGTTTAGTTTATCTATCTGCATCTGCACAGCTTACAAATCCACTACTGTGCAGAATACAGAACAATACTTGTTACATTGCCAAGCTGACATTGTCTCCATATTAAATGGACTGACAATGCAAAAGTACACCTGCTGTTCAATATCCATCTGTCAAAGTAACTCTAGGGCTCATCATTGTGTTGATAGCTGAACCTTTGAGTGGCAGGAAAATAGAAATTAGTTTTAAAAGGAATGTTTTTTTCTCTTTATTTTGTGTATGTGGGTGATCTGAGGGCCCAAAATAGAATGAAGGCAGTTTTTTAAAATGTTTATTTAAATAATTCTGCAATATTAAATGTTGATTGTGAAAAACTAATACAAATTCCATTGGTATTCCAGAGTATATGGCTTTGCAAAATTACACCTGTCTTTGGGATTCAAACTTAATAACTAGATTGAGTAATAGAAGAAGCTTTCGAGAAACACTTCTAAATATATGCATAGAGATTGTCTTCCATCTGTGGTTTTTCCTTACCATCTTTTTTTCTTTACAGCCACAAAAATGGTAGATGGGTTTTTGTGGGGGGTGGGCTTTGTAAAAGCTAAGTGTCTGCAATATATTTTTACTGCCTTTACCTTCTCCTTGCATGCTTGTACTAGATCTCATTGGGTCAGCTCAATTGGGAGGCTCTATGAGGCTTCCTCATAGCAGCTGGACTTCAGAACTGCTTGTTGAGCTGAAAAAGCAGAGTTTTTCCATTTACATGATGTGACTCATGCTATTTTCTCCATTAGGCACAGTTCTTTTGTAATCTCAGTTGAGGAGCCTCTCAGTTGTATCACTGCATGTTAGTGTTTCTTTTTAATTACTCACAGCAAAGTAAAGTATTAGCAGTCTGCTGAACCATTAAAGGTGCATACAAAACCCAGAACCCACATAACCATCAAGGTTTGCAGCAATATAGTGATTAGTAGTGCTCTTTTTAAAAAAACCTTGAAGAAAAAAGTTTTACACAAATATGATGCAGTCATTGTGACTGGCCTATGAGCAGTATGAGTATTCACCAGTATGACTACCGTGCTTCTCCAACAATATGGCCTCCACCAATAGGAAGCCGCAGCATGTTTTATCGGCATAAAATCAAATTAAGTCCCTCCCCCCCAATTAATGCCTATATTAAACATGCGAAATGGGGAATGGCGGGGGGGCCTTGCCGTTAGGAAGTACTTTTGTTGCATACCCGGATATGGTGCTGCCTGCGTTGACTTTGGTGTTGGTGGGGCACTTCATGTCAGGAGACCTTCCTCCACCGTTGCTTTCCCTTCTCCCTTGCTGCCGCGGCATTTAGAGCAACACCGCGGTGTTTGGCACAGCCATGCGCAGCCAGCCAGGGCTCCTCCCTGCAACCGGAGCCCGGCGGAGACACTCGGCTTCAGGTGCTCCTGTCGCCGCCTTCCCTTTGCCTTCAAAGGCAAAGCCAATTCTTTTAAAAACGACACCCTACTACCAGTACGACAACGCCTGTGCCGCGTCCTCCTCCGAGCTGAGCCCCACCGAGTCAGCGCCTCTGCCTGATTCCTGTTCTGCTGCAGCGTTTCGAGCTGCTGGCACATTTGGAGATGCGTGGGGACGGGGATGGGCTGGGCGAGGGGTGGAAAGGATGGGCGGCTTCGGGCTCTCTCCGGCGGCCAGGGAAGCAGCGCTGCCATCACCTCGCCTCCCTGTCTGCGGACTGGTGGGCGCTATCACTGCTTCGGGCAGCCTCTCCTGGTGGCCCCTTCGGGTTCGCGCTGGAGGGACTTGGGAAGGAAGCCAAGCTCAGGTCGGCCTGGCTCTTTTGCTTGGCAAGCGGGAGCGCCCCCGTGGCTCGCTTTCCTGGCTCTGCCCAGCCCGCACGTCTCTGGCGCGGCCCTGGTGGGATGAGCAGAGGGTCCAGTGGGGAGGCGCTCGCTGCCTTGGGGAGAGCTCTGCTGCCAGGAAAAAGGGCCTGCCTCTCAGCTGCGCTGGGCACCCCAGGCGAAGCTCTTCACGCTCTGCCCAGCGCCAGGCAGGGATGGCAGCTGGGCGCTTCTCCTGAGGTGGGCCGATCCTGCACTGCAGCCCCGGGAGATTCGCCTCCCCACGTGGTGTTGGGCTGCCCTCTCAGGCAGGGGAGTCTTTGTTGTAGTAGGGCGTCATTTTTAAAATGATTGGCTTTACCTTCGAAGGTGAAGGGAAGGCGGTGACAGGAGTGCCTGAAGCCAAGTGTCTCCACCGGGCTCCGGTTGCAGGGAGGAGCCCTGGCTGGCCGCATGTGGCTGCGCAAAACGCCACGGCGTTGCTTTAAACTCCGCGGCAGCAAGGGAGAAGGGAAAGCAATGGTGGCAGAATGTCTCCCGATATGAAGTGCCCCACCAACACTGAGGTCAACATCTAAGCTGTTGCTGCCTGCCCACCCGACGATGCAAGGGGGGAATTAAGTGAACCCCAAAAAGACGGACTAGCCATTTTTCGGGGGTCAAAAAAAAAATAAGGCCCGGCCTTATTTTGTGAGAAACACGGTAGGAGGCCATTGATTGTGAAAGATTTGTACAGAAACTGGCATGAGCCATTTGACATAAGTAGGGTCCCATCATTAGTTCAGATCATTTGTAGAGAGGGAAGAGCAAAAGTTTTGTAGATAATTGAAGTAAAATGGAAGAATATGTGTTTGAGAGCCGTCTTCGTCTTATGGTTAAGGCAACTGAATAGAAACCAGGCTCTGAGTTCAAGACCTTAGCCATGAAAGCCAGCTAACTTTAGGCCTCTCTCTCAGTCCAACTCACTTCACAGAATTGTTGTTGTGGGGAAAATAGGAGGAGGAAGGTGTGTTAGATATGTTTGCCACCTTGAGTTATTTATAAAAATAATAAAGGTGGCCTGCAAATAAGTAAATGTTTTGACTTGAAAAATGGTTCTCATTTCACCGGGAACTGACAGAAGTTGACTGAATAAAAATGGAAATGACCCCAAGCAGTCTATGGAGATTCTCTGTCATCCAGGTCATAGTTGTTTCAAAGGTGCTTTTTCAAGAGGCAACTGGACTTTGTTTTTCTTCGAAGAAGTTTAGTTTTTCATCCAAGAAGCTTCTTCAGAGCTGAGAAGAGAAATGTAACATAAATACTTTATTAGAGAAATGTTTATTCAAATTGATATTTTGAGAATACCTTTTCAAAAATATTTTTGAAATGGCAAACAAGTTGAAGAGGGTATTTGGATTACATTCAAATGAACCAGTAAGCATAGAGATCCTTTAATAACTGATTTTCAAACTGAATGGTACATCATTTTGGAACAACCATATGCCTTGTTTCAAGCCTGATGTCAAACAAAGTTGGCTGTGTTACATCAGAAGAAAATTCAAAACAGCTGGAAAATTGCCTTCAAACAAGGACTTTTTTTTACTTTGTAATCAAAACACTTTAAAGGCTCACTTTCAATCTTGAACAGTTGATTTCAGAATTGCTTCCTATAAACTCAAAATGTTCACTACTAAGAACAACCAACTTTGTTTCTACACTAGAATGAAATAGTTAAGTTGTGTTCCAACCTCGGAATAAAACTTTCAAGAAACATTTTTGTTTCAGACTCAAAATCTTTAAAAGGCAATTTAAAGTTCTAAACATGTAGTGCATCCCTAATTAATACTTTGTATTTTATTGGTGAATATGAAGAAAGATAATGATAAAAAAGAAAAGATAATAGACTATTTTAAAATTCTTGAATGAATTGTGATCTGTTAAGTACTGTTGCAAGTGACTCTAGGATCAACATTTTACACATACATTTGCTGTCACAAATTATGCTGTACATCTTTGAAAGTGAAAACATAATGCCTGGTTTCCTCTTAACAGTGAAAAAGACATACAGTGAATTAAGTGACTCACTGATTCACCCAGACATTCTGCTGAACAGCAAGTAAGGGTAAAGAAGTGAGGGTAAAGAATAAGGAGCAAATATGAATATTGAAAAGAAGGATTGGTACACTAATATACTGTGAAAGAAAGGCCACATTACCTGCATACCTTTCATGGAAACCTAACTATTGTACTCTCTTTTTTACAGATAGTTCTCAATTTACAACAGTTCATTTAGTGACTGTTCAGAGTTACAACAGCACAGAAAATTGTGACATGACATTTTTCATAGTTATGATGAGCATCCCATGATCATGTGATCAAAATTCAGATGCTTGGCAACTGGCTTGTATTTATGACCATTGCTGTATCCCAAGGTCATGTGATCACCTTTTGTAACCTTCTGACAAGCAATGGGGAAGCCAGGTTCACTTAATCAAATGCAGTGATTCACTTAACTGTGGCAAGAAAAGTCATAAAATGAGGCAAAACTCACTTCAATGACTCACTTAACAACATAAATGTTGAACTCAATGGCGATCATAAGTCAAGGATTACCTGTATGTTTCTTTTGTCATAATACTGCAGGGATAAAATAATTGGGAAAATATATATAATAACTTTCATTTATTCAATTTCCTTTGTTTAAGCTTCAAATGATATATATTCCATCAGGTAGTTGTACCCTAGCCCTTTCCAATA